ATGAAGATAATAACAGTATCTACTCTCAAAGTGTTGTGGGTACATGAGAGAATTAAATGTTAGGATATATAAAGTTCGTTGAGCCCTGCTTGGCTTACTGTAGTGTACAATAAACCCTCACTATTATTTTTACACATATCTGCAATAGCATTATTCACATGATATTGTAGCTGCTTGCGAGAGTTATTTTGTCCCCCTAAACTGTAGGAGATGGCGCATCATTACATTTTCAGGCTGGCTCACAGTGTCTGGCTTATAGCCTGCATGAAACAGTTACCAAATGAATAAAGCAATCTTTGCACTCCATACAACATGAAGCACAGGGTAGGTGCTCACTAAATGGTAACTGAATGGAATTGGATAAAATCAGATTAATCTGAAGAGAGTGCAGAAGAGGTGCCATAAAATTTGATAAGCCCTAAATAGTTTGAATTTTAACGTGAAAACTAATTTTCTTTGAGACTCGTCCTTAGCACTGAAATTTAACTGAAGACATAACTCCACATCCATAACAAATTTAGAAGTTTTTTTCTATTTTGTTCACTCTCCAGTTTTAGTTTCCATGTCCTGCCAACCCTCTTTGTTTTCATTCTCATGGCATAGCTTAGATCATATTTCACCAAAAACCTGGACTCATCACCACCTATATGAGTAAGCTATTGCTACATGAGAAACAAACATGAAATCTCAGTGGCAATATAACAAGGAGCATCTATTTCTCATGTGTCTGTGGTGCAGGCTTGACCGGGCCACTCTGCTTTAAGCTGCAGGTCTGACTGGACTTGTTTCTTCACTAAGGGTTGACCTCAGTTCTGTGCCATATATATTTATTCTGGATTCCTCGTGGAAGGGGCAGCAGCTACCCAGGGAAGCTCTTCTTTGGCAATAGCAGAGAAGCAAGAAAATGAGTAGAAATCTGCAATGCCTGTTAAGGTCTCGGTTTGGAACTGACATATTTCCACTCACATTACATTATTCCAAAGAAGACATTAGGCCAAACGCAATATCAAAGAAATTGGGGGAAATAAACATTGCCCACTCTAGTGGGTGGTACCAGTGCCATGTTCCCATGGCAAAGGAGGAATGTATACATCGAATTCAGAGAAGACAAGAAGGATTGTGCATGATGATTACATTTATCACACCTTTATCCAGATTCAGGTCCTCATAACATCTTTCCTAGGCAATCACATTAGTTGTTTAATCTCCCTGTGCCTCATCTTCCCCACTATATTATACCCCCTCCACTTTCTTTACAAAGTGCTACCAAATAAACCTTCTCAAGTAGAGTGTGTATATAATGCTCACTTTACTCAAAAACCACAATCACTTCCTAATGTCCTATCATATGCTTTTGGCTGCAGTTAATAGAATACCCAGTTTACAATAACTTATATTATTTCATATGAAAATAAGTCTAGAGAAAGTGTTTTGTGTTGGTTTAAAGGCATAGAAATGTCATCAGAGTCTCGAGTTTTTGTTGTTTATTTTTAATACATTAGCTGCTGTTCTTAGCATTCATTGTCTCATGGTGGTAAGATAGCTGCAATAGCTCCAAGCATCACATCATGGCAAAATTATATTCAAAGATGGATGAAAATAAGGAAAAAAGACTCCTTATATGTCCCTTTTCTTTCATCAGGGGAAAAAAGTCTCTTCCTCTATGGTCCTGAGTCACTTTCCTGGACATTTCATTGATCGGAGCTATCTAATCTCCCAAAGCTGCAAGGCAGGTAGAAATCAATAGAGATGAGTTTCAGGTTCTGTCATATGAGTGGCTTCTAAAAACAAGAAATAAGGTAGGAGAGGAATTACTTATATGTAGAAAATCAATGGTATCTGCATACTCTCAAATAATTTAACCTACCTGGCAAAATTTAAGATTCTTCATAACACAGCCTTCATCTCTTTTATAACTGAATGTATCAAGATTTCTCTAAATAAGAGTGAATGTTTTCCTCAGCACACTCCAGTGTTCCTATCATTCTTCCCATCATTCATGCATTTGTTTACTTCCTTTCATTTTCCCAAAATGCTCTTTGTTCCCCCTTTTACTTGTCTTTACTTATCTGTGAGAGAAGGGAAGCACCCAAGGCTGGTCTCCTGCCCACCACATGCTCCCACATTGCCTCTGTGCTTCCCCAGTTATAGCAGTTTTCTCATGATGAAATGTTCTTACTTGTTACTTATATACTGCCCTACTAGGCAAAGCTTTAGAAAATAGGGAATGAGTCTTGGTTGTTGTATTACCAGTGCCTTTCCTAGCCCTAAACATGGTATGGCCTCTCAAGATGTTCTTTAGGAAATAACTAAATGAATAACAGAGTAAATGCCCTGGAATGCTCTTACCTGTATCTTCTTATATCCACCTAGCAAAAACAAACCAAACAAAACCAAAACAATTCCACCAAACACAACTCTGTTTCCCACTCTCCATCATACAAACATACTTATACCACATAGTACATCTGCACTAAATGACACAAAAAGACCTTATACTAAAGGACATCTTTCTTAGCATTCAGTACCTTTTATGGTACCTGCTATATTCTTTTTTTGTATATTCTTTTAATACTTTGGTTAGCCCCTACAATATTATTACAAACTTCCTGATATTGTTTTTCAACTCAATATGCCTACCCTCATTGCTGTGAAGATAGAAGATAATAAATATTTGTGAAATTGATTTGAATAATAAAATCCATTAATGGGTTTTTTACTTTATAGCAATTCTTCCTCCTGACTGTAATCTCAAGACAATGTAAGTCATTTGATCTGATATACTGGGTTGTTTTTTCCTAAATATTATGTCGTTCTTTCTTAGAGTGGTTACAAGTATTTTGAACAAGTCATTGTTACTTGACCAAAGTGTTCAAAGCAAATACCCATGATTATTTCCCACTTCTCTATACTATATTCATGTGTTTTGAGCTTTTCTGTTACTTGGATAAAAATGCACTTTTCCCTATTGGAGTGTGTTATTCATAGTGTTTTAGCCTTAATTGTTCCCTCCATGCTCGGTTGTCACCAATTCAAATCATTACATATTCCTAAGAAATAAATAAAAATTATGATTCGCTGAAGTCTCACTACACTCCATTTTGAGTATATCACTGAACATTATGCTGCATCATATATTATTCTATCTAATTTTACGTATGCTTTTAAAAAATTATTGACTACCTCCACTGATGGTTAAGATGATGTCTTGCAGTCCATCATTCTACAAATGTTTATTGAACTTCTACTATGTGCCAAACACTGTTTAGGTACTGGGGATCCAATAATAAATGGTTGAGATATGAGTCCTACTCTCCTGGGTTTTGCATTCTAAGCAAGGGAAACAACTAAACAGAAAGCATATCAGTCTCATATGTCAAGTGGATATATGTGCTCTAAGAAAAGTAAGACTGGGAAAGTGGCATAGAGAATGTCATGAAGTGAAGCCATTTTTTAAAAGGAGTGTAGGAAAGGCCAAAATGAGAAGATACCATTTGATCAGAGACCTAAGGCAATGGAGTTCCATGAAGAAGAAAATGCAAAGCCCCTGCAGCCAAAGAGTGCTTGGCAACAATGAGAAAGAGCAATTTGGGGTTATTGCAAATTTATAAATGGGGAGAGAAAACTCAAAATCTACTAATTAGGAGAGGTCAGATTATATAATACCTTGTAAGTCACAGTAGAGACTTTTATTTCATTCTGAGTGAAATGGGAAGCCCTTGAACCCACTAAATATTTGTTTCATTATCAGTAATAAGCATTGATACTATCTCAATAGCAAAACCTGGAAAGGGATGGTGGTGGGGGTTGTACAACATTGTGAATGTACTCAATGCCACTGAATGGCACCCTTAAATATGGTGAGAATGATCAATTCTATGTTATGTATGTTATACTACAATTATAAAAAGCAAACGTCTGTGATTACTGCAGGCCAGAGTCTGTGCTAAGCACTGGTGAAGACATAGATGATTCAGACACTCAGAATCTGCTTTGAGAGAGTATATTCCATATATTACAAATGTAAATACACAATGCAAGGTAGTGCAAATCATGTTCCAAATGAGAGGGCTAGGCTAGGATTTCACAGTGGGTGTTCTCAGAAACACTAGTCTGGAGACATGCTCTTTGAAATAAAAAAAAGTTGCTCAACGAAACTCCGTCTCAAAAAAAAAAAGTTGCTCAAATAAGTTTGGGGGATAATGCATCCTCCATCCCTCATGGAGATTCATAGCACACGTCGGCATTTCACAGGCTCCAAAAATAAATACATATTAAAGAAACCTGTCTGACTTTGCAGAACCTAATGACACTGAATCATTTTGTTCAAGAGCCCATTTTCCTGAATCCTGTATTAATATCCTGAGGACCTGATATTTCTAACAACTGATGTTACAGGAGACACAAAGCTGAGATAAGAAAGAGTTAGTGGAGAAAGTGTGACCTAAGCTGAGCCCTAAAGGAAAGGTAATAGTTAGATTTGAGAAGAGGAAAGACATTCAAGTCAGGAGAACTGCTAAGTAATTCACTTCGAAGCAAGTCCTCTAGAACTTGCCTCCTCAAATACTGTTGAGTTACAGAATGAATGTCCTAAATATACTGATAACATTGTAATTTTTATAACCATTAACTGGTAAACTTCTTCTTAAACAGTATACCAAAGACACAAAGATTAATTATTTTGCGAAATTTTTCTTAATTCCTTGTCATTCCTTTTTAGACAACAAAGTTAAGGCCCAGAGAGACTATAACTTACACAGTCACCCCTGCCTAATCGATGGCTGAGTGTTAGTTTTCTCACTCTGGGGCCAGGGTCCTATTGCATAAAGGAGGGAGCTGTGGTCTTCATATGTCTGCCACGGACACTTTGAAAATAAAGCAAAAAATCAATTCCTATGCGAGATGAAGATTTCAGCATGCAATGGATATGGAAACAGAATCAAATTAAAGAACAACGCAAGCTTGGATTTTAATGAAGCTCATCTTTGTTTCTTTTGCAGATCAAATTTTTGGCTCTCATCTGCACACAGTGTGTGAACGTGAAAATTCCACAGTTCCGCGGTTTGTAAAGCAATGCATTGAAGCTGTTGAGAAAAGAGGTGGGTAACTGAATGTGCATCAGATCCCCCCATTACTGCATCCTCTACGCAACCAGTACTCAAGTTAGCAGTGCCACTTGATTTGTCTGAGAAGCCATGCAATTAAAACTTGACTTGTGTTAATCGGTTAAGAGGATCAACTTTCTTATTAACTCCAGTTTGTTTCTACAATAGGGACATTAGTAATTCTCACTAATGTTCTTTTTTTCTTTTTAATATTTTGTCTGTCTGACATACTGTTGATTCAAGTGCAAACTTCTTGTTTTCAAGCCAGTGATAAAACATTCATAAAATATCAGCACTCACAGTGTTAGAACCCTCCTAACATTCATGCTGGTAGACGTTGTGCCAGAACAATTTTTGGTAAGCCCCCAACATTACCCAAGTTAAGCAAATAGCATTCCGACTTGCAGACAGTGATATCTCACCTTCCACATGTTTCTGTTCAGTACTGAATGTGCTATTGGGATTTTCAGGAACAATTAAAAGATGTACCTCAAAAGATGACCTTTGATTCCTCTATTTCAACATTCTGTTTTTCATCAGAAATTATTTCATCTTACTGAAGAGAATAAAACAAAACCCAATTGAATCATCATTTCTACTCCACTTTATCTGTGGGGTGCTTTTCCTTCAAACTATGACTTCATTCATTCAAGGTCATTTTTCCTAGAAGATACATATAGTAGATGCAGAATCTTAAAAAAATGTATTGTATAAAAATGCGAGGCTTCATCACCATCTGTTACAAGTTTACAACATATTCCCAGGATCTAGGGGGATATATATCATGTAAAAGATAGAGGTGTTTTCAGAAAAAGGATTGGTGAACCTATTCCCTTTTCTAACTCCTAGTCTCTTAAGACAATAGAACCAAGGGGAAAAAATCTTTACCCAGTAATCTACTAGGGGAAAAAAGCCATTTTAATTCTCTCAATGTTACCTGGCTTTATTATAAAAGCATAATAAAAATGGTCTGCAATTTCTAACTCCTGGAAATTCATACTTTAATTATACTGTAAGGACAGCCTTGGGATCCTATTATTCCCCTATCAGTAGGGAATGAGAGAATATCAAGAAGGGGAAGAGTGGGTAGGGAATGTGGATAAAGAGAGTGACTTTGGGGAAAGCATATCAACATGTCAGAGAGAAGAGCTGAGAGTACAGTGAGAGTAGAAAACAGCAACTGCAGGATGAACATGAAGAGAGGTGTCTGTGAGAAATGAAGTCAATTGGAGTTTAGAGAAAAATTGTTTTTATTGCAAGTTGCAATTTCATTTAATTTTATAAGTACATATTTTAGGAATAAATATTCTTTAATAAGTACTTAAAGCCAAAATGGATCACTGAGAATATTATAATGTTATTATTTCCGATAGCTAAATTGTCATCATTTTCAGGAAATCTTCATCCACTTATAAATACTCAGCACCGACAGTGTGAGCACTGTTATATTAGACCAAAAATCCAAATAGGACATTGGGGAAGCACATAATAAGATGTGTGCATGTGTAACAAAGTACTCCATGCCTCTCGATTTATGTCTCTACCCTAGGCAAAACAAAAAACTCTGCTAGATGCAGCCTTGCAGTGAGCAGATATTATAATATTGTAGAGTAGAAAATGTCTATAAATAGAAACTGTATCTTTTGTTCATGGCATTTTGTTGGTGATTTTTAATAAAATAAGACAATGTTTTTGCTGACTGGAGCAATCACATCTAGCATTATATTTCATTGTCCCTGTGTTTACTCTTAAAATGAATTTGTAGATCCAGCACTAAACGGGCACTAATCACACATATGATTATTAAAGTAATTCCTAAGCATTTTAATGAAACTCAAAGACTTTACAATTCCACAAAGCAACTGATAATTCAAAGCACTTTGGCAGCATCAGCTTAAAGGAACTCTATGGAAATATGCAATAAAAACTAAGAAGCACAAGATAAACCTCTCACATCATTGCAAGATTTACAAGTGTGTACTTTTGATTATAATTTTCTATGATCATTTTGTTGGATTAATATTCTTATATTTATACACCAATTCTATTTACTCAAAGTGTTGTTTTTACGAAATTCTGGCATAAAGCATTTCAGAACAGAAATAATTTATGTGAATCTAAGTCCAATGTTTATGCAGGCTTCTGATGACATTTTATGCTGGGGTTGGTATTAGGAAGTAGCATATTAAGGTGCCAAGTCTCTCAGCACGGCTGGGACTCAGCATATCTGGAGCCCTCCTTCTAATGGCCAGATCCTCTTCCAGCCAAGATACTCAACTGCAGAGTCATGGGAAATGCTGATGGACCAGTTATGGGAAAGGAACATTTAATGAAAAACTGTGTGTTTATTCTCACAGTCTTAGGGAAATGGTCTTGATTCCCCTCACTACATCGGCACATTGGCTGTTAAAAAAAAGATTTGTTTCCTTCTCTTTTTTTTTCTCATGATTATTTTTTACTCCTTTAAAAATCATCTATAAATTGTAGCTATATTTTTAAAAAATACTTATTAGATTGATGATGTAAAATGAAACATTATCAGGAAGGCAGATCTCACCATTCATTCCTTCATTTATTTGTCTTACCTGTTTGCATTGAACAGAACCAAATTGCTCACGTTTCTGTAGGTCTCTCCAGGGAAATTCTACCCAGTAGTTGGTGCAAGATACATTCTTTATTCATCCCTGGTAAGGTGACATTAGTTACATTTCAAATTTTAGATATGCCTAGAAAAAAATCTATTAATAAGCTGAATATAAACCAATTTAGCTAATAATTTGTTTAGTATGCTTTCTTATCTTGATTTGGTTCTCTTTATTACTCTAAATTACCAGAGCACTCTCCTCCTCACCAACTGTTATAACGAGATTAAATTTATTTCTGTGGTTTCTTTTTTTCTTTTAGGGATGGAGTCTCGCTCTGTTGCCCAGACTGGAGTGCAGTGGCTCAATCTCAGTTCACTGCAACCTCTGCCTTCTGGGTTCAAGCGATTCTCCTGCCTCAGCCTCCCGAGTAGCAGGGATTACAGGAATATGCCACCATGCCAGGCTAATTTTTGTATTTGAAATAAAGATAGAGTTTCACCATATTGGCTAGGCTGGTATCGAATTCCTGACCTTGTGATCTGCCCACCTTGTCCCCCCAAAGTACTGGGATTACAGGCATGAGCCATTGTGTCTGGCCCATTTCTGTGGTTTCTGACATTGTCAGCAGAGCTTTGAAAACACACACAAATTTTGGGAAAAAGAATTGTTTTTTGTTTTGTTTTGTTTTGCTTTTAATTTTTTAATTATAATTTAAGTTCTGGGGTACATGTGCAGAATGTCCAGGTTTGTTATATAGGTATACATGTGCTATGGTGGTATGCTGCACCCCATCAACCCATCATCAACATTAGGTATTTTTCCTAATGCTGTCCCTAACAGCTCCCCACCCCCCAACCTGCCCCAGTGTGTGATGTTCCCCTCCCTGTGTCCATGTGCTCTCATTGTTCAACACCCGCTTATGAGTGAGAACGTGGTATTTGGCTTTCTGTTCTGCTGTTACTTTGCTGAGAATGATGGTTTCCAGCTTCAGTCATGTTCCTTGCAAAGGATGTGAACTCAACCTTTTTTATGACTGTAGCTCCATCGTGTATCCATGGTGCATATGTGCCACATAGTATCATAGTATCCATGGTATATATGTGCCACATAGTATCATAGTATCCATGGTGTATATGTGCCACATTTTCTTTATCCAGTCTATCTTTGATGGGCATTTGGGTTGGTTCCAAGTCTTTGCTTGTGAACAGTGCTGCAATAAACATACATGTGCATGTGTCTTTATAGTAGAATGATTCATAATGCTTTGGGTATATACCCAGTAATGGGATTGCCAAGTCAAATGGTATTTCTGGTTCTAGATCCTTGAGGAATTGCCACACTATCTTCCACAATGGTTGAACTAGTTTACATTCCCACCAACTGTGTAAAAGCGTTCCTATTTCTCCACAACCTCTCCAGCATCTGTTGTTTACTGACTTTTAATGATTGTCATTCTAACTGGCATGAGATGTTATCTCAACATGGTTTTGATGATCATTTTTCTAAGACCAGTGATGATAACTTTTTTTCATGTTTGCTGGGCACATAAATGTCTTTTTTGAGAAGTGTATGTTCATATCCTTTGCCCACTTGTTGATGGGATTTGTTTTTTCTTGTAAATTAGTTTCAGTTCCTTGTAGATTTGGATATTAGCCCTTGCAGATGGACAGATTGCAAAAATTTTCTCCCATTCTGTAGGTTGCCTGCTCACTCTGATTATAGTTTCTTTTGCTGTGCAGAAGCTCTTTTGTTTAATTAGATTCCATTTGTCAATGTTGGCTTTTGTTGCCATTGCTTTTGATGTTTTAGTCATGAAGTCTTTGCCCATGCCTTTATCCTGAATGGTATTGCCTAGGTTTTCTTCCAGGGTTTTTATGGTTCCAGGTCTTACGTTTAAGTCTTTAATCCATGGAAGACAAATTGTTAAGGAGCATGTTAGTCTTTAAAGCTCTTTCAAGTGGTTTCTTCCCCCTTGTCTTGCCTTTATAGTTGGATACCATGTATCTAATAAATCATGATTAGCCAATGAAACACTCAACTAATGTTTCTATGAAAATTTTAAAACTTTGTTCAGCTAATGCTTTCTCCATATCTTGGGTACAATGACCAAAAGCATGAGATCATCTGACACTATTTTGGAGGTTTGAGGAAACAAGCATGTAGAGCAGAGGTGTCTAATTTTTTTGCTTCCCTGGGTCACATTTGAAGAAGAATTGTCTTGGGCCACACATGAAATACACTAACACTAACAGTAGCTAATGAGCTTTAAAAACATTGCAGAAAAATCTCATAATGTTTTAAGAAAGCTTACGAATTTATGTTGTGCTGCATTCAAACCCCTGGGCCATGGGTTGGAAAAGTTTGATGTAGAGAAAGGCATTGTAACATAGAGTAGATATAAGCAGTGGG